GGCTACTCTGAATGTTCCCAGAGTTATTCTAATAAAAATGTGATATTTATAAGCTGCGATATCTGAGGAATATCTAAACCTGCTTTGTGAACATATCAACTTTAAGCAAATGGACTGCTGATTTGTAAATAATAGAAGACAAACCCTGCCCTGAACGCTTGTCTCTCCACAATCCAAAGAGCTTCTTCAATTCTAACAGCTCTTCTATTATATAGACACATATTTATCCCACTCCATCCAAAAAAAAAAGAAAAAAGTCACTTGTAAAATAGCTTAAGCCAGTACTGATGGTATTAGTAAGCAAGCAATCTTGCTGTCAAAACAAGTTAAAAATTTTCAAGCTGCATTCTTTAAAACCCCAGAATCAAAGCAGCAGTAGATAAACTGAGCAAGACTCAAACTATGATTAACTGACTGTGACACACAGTGAGTTTGAAGTGACATGCAAAGGAAAAAAGGCAAGAAAATGAAAGAAGATACAAACTGAGACTTAGAGACCAGCTTTACGTCCATAGTTTGGATTCTTGAAATTGTTAATAGGACTCTTGTATATTGGATTTTCTTGCTGAAGTAAAAGAAATGGTCAATGTCGAATAATTCAACAGGAAAAAAAGAAAAGTAACATTTCTTAACTATCACTGAAAAAAAATAATGCTATATGTAAAGAAAGATGTTAGTAATATTTTTTCCAGCATAGAATTAACTGATTTTCTTAAATAAAAACAAAAGACTTCCTAGGAGATTTTTAAAAAATTATTCTCTCATCAAGCATACGTGGGTGTTGACTTCTACAGAAATGTAGCAAAGTGGTTTTGATTAGCAGATTCCTAAAATTTCCCAGAGGCAGCGACCCTATAGCCTATGTAAGCCTATAAACCATAGGCTTGGTTTTCTTGCATACTTCTCCGTTGACAACGGGTTGGGAAGATTTCAACAAACCAGTACCAGCCATGACTTTGTGGCCAGTTATTGAAATCTCCCAACTAAACCTGTATGAGTATTTACATGATCTCTTTCATAAGCGTAAAATTTTCTTCTTCATTTTATATAAAAGTGACTCTCACCTTCTAATGAACATTTTAATAAGATGTTGGAAAGTGTGGTAGAAATACAAAGCTGAACTATTCTGTCACCATGGCATTTTCTCTCTGAAATTTTATTTCAACTGAAGTTACTGCTTGCTTTTCTAACCCCAGAGGTACTTCTCAAAGAGGGTTGATTTTTTTGTTGTTTGGTTGGGGTTTTTTGTTTGCTTTTGGTTTTTTTGCTAGTGGTAACAACTAACATGTTTCAAAGTCAGCTTAAAATAAGGATATTTCTGTTCCTCCATAGGCCAAAAGGCAGGAATACAATCTGAAACATTTAAGGCACATGAACAAAACCCTTCTATTCTTCTTCAGCTACTGTAGCTTTTATACAGATAAAAGCCTCTTGACTTACCGTATCCCACTTGGCATTCATCTTCTCCTTTTCAAATTTAGCAAATTCTCTTCTGTCATGAATGATCATTAGTAGTTTCCAAATCAATAATAATGCAAGTCCAATAAGAACAATTCCAGCAACCACACCAGCTACAATGGGAACGATGTCAGGGCCGCTGGGGCATTCTAAGGAACAAAGCAAGGGAAGCATGATTTTACATAATGGTAAAGTTAATGCATATCTAAATGCTTTTAAAATTTTGTTTTGTACTGAAGCCAGTATTTTGAATATCAGAGATATGCCAATACTATTTTCCTTTCAAATAAGGGAAGTTTTGGAATGTGTACATCCTGTAACATCCCAGCTTGGTTTTATCCTTCTAATTTGTGTTTAATCTTAGCAATAGAACAACTCATGTTCTGAGAATAAAGTCTACACACTGCTAACCCCTTAAGCTGTTCATCTACAGTACTGGAGTAAAATAACTAGCAATTGTATTTTAAACATGCAAGAGCTCCAAGTCAAAGGTGGTGCTGGAGGGATAAACCAGCTAGAGTACAAATGCAGATTAGCAAAACAGTCCCACATACTCTATCAACAGCATTACAGAAAAAGGGTGTTCCTCATTTTACCTCAGGCGGCTGCTACTGTTAGTAGCTAATATAGAGAGATAAGTAAGAACTTTGCTTCTGGGACAGATCTTTTTTAGGATATTTCTCATCTTGGAAATTGACCTCTGCTGAAATAAATTTTAAAAAAGTATTTCTTCTTTGGATAAAAATATCATGTACTTTCAAAATAAGTTAATTATGTGTTTGAAAAGAGTAATACAGATGCAAAATGATTTAAGGTGACTGACATAGAAATAATAATCCTCCAAAATAAAACCCAACTCTTCTATTAATAGAAAAGTCTCAATAATCACAAACTGAACAAGGGCTTCTGCAGAGCTTAATACACAGACTGAAGGAGTCAGAAGCAAATAAATGCAACTCCTGTGCTGTCCATAGGAAGACTGCTCCCCCAAACTGCAGACTCCTAATCTTGGTGGCTGCCTCTGCAGGAGTGAGGGAAGTGGAAAGGGACACAGCATGAATTCCTTGTGAACCAGTAAGGAACAAATGTCTGTCTGCTCCACCAAATACAACTCTACTGAACAGAGCTTGTTCCTTCAGCACTCGTACGGCACAAAATTAAGGTGCCTCCTGGTGCATGAAGGCTTGATTCAGCTCTTAACTAAGGAAAGAGAAGTTTATCCATGAAGAAAAGGTCACACCCCAAAAGTGTAGGATATATGCTGACTTGTCCTAAAAGAAGACAGGGCTCAAGGTCCTCCTCTATACTTTGGACTACATTTTTAGGAAATTTAAAACATTCTGAATTGAAATGGTATTTATTTCTAAGAGCCACTAACCACTGATCTGTATTAAGTGATGATCACCCAAATAATCAATTCTGAAAATTCCTTGAGTAGAATACAGCACTAAACCTTTCAACACAGAAGTAAGGTGTGTATTTTGTATCAGGTTTATAAAAATCAGGAGACCACACACTGCTGTTGTACAAGATCAGAATTTTTGCACTGTTAGGTGCAACATCCAGTGATTCAAACTAAAAATACTCTTGGTAAATAAATGGTAAATTACTGATCGAGCTATAGAATTGTTCTCTCTTTTTTTGTATCAGAAGATTGAACAAAATCAAGAACAGTTGACTATTAAGGATTAACTAAGCAAAAGGCTTTTCAGATCTATTCTTGAAGGTACCTCAGTTAAGTAAAAGCAAAGGCTCCTGGTATGAAATAATTTAAGCAGTTTGCAGCACAGTACACAATTTTGTGCTGTTGGGTTTCTTTGTATAACACTGGTCCCATATTATTAAGAAAAGGAAAAGAAAAAAAGCAGCAAAACCCCAGACACCATTGTTTCTAACCTGTAGCAGAAGCCAGGTAAAAAAAAAAAAAAATTTTCAAAATCTATCTAGGACTTGCTACAGGACAGGTAAAACAAGCCTATAAAGTATGTCAAGCAGAAACATGAAATGCTTTCACAAATACACATATCTGATTGACTTTTTGTTTTAAAAAACCAAAACCTGTTTCTGTTAGTCTAAAGGTTTGAAAAAACTAGACCTAGAGAGATGTACGTTTTTCTAAAGCCACTCAAGTTCCAGACATCCACGACTCTCACTCAGGGAATAGGTACCTATTTCCAAATGCACGTAACTCATGCAAATCAACCAGAGCTACTTTGTAGCACACAACAACTGCATGAATTAACAACAAAGATGAAGGGAGAGTAAGCAACATCATGTTCACACCTGGGGTCTCTACCACGTGGACACTGGCTTCACCATTTGAGTTGACAGAATATGTGAAGTAGAACCAGCAGTCATCAACATCCTTCTCTTTGCAATGAGACAATGGATCGGGCTGTCCGGGCTGCGGCAACTTGTCTCGACTTTCTACCCGTGTCATGTTGAAATGCATACATTCCTGAGAACATGTTTCCTTCTTTTCTCCCTTATCGAAAGCTCTACATTGAACGCAGTCCCTGTGGAAGTACAAATCAGAAGCAATGCTTTTTAATATGTCCATGAAAGATTTCTAGCATTTAATCTAAA